TTGTGAATACATATCGATAAAGAATAATTGTTCTAAGCCATTCAGTCTTGTTATTTGGTACATTTGTAGCTGTACTCATGACTCTGAGGTTGAGCCAAAATAGTTCATCATTAGTCGCATCATCCAAAGCGCAGAGATATATACGTAGCTGTCACGGATGCACCGGCTAAGTCGGTAATTTAGCTCGGCTGGTTGGACTCGCTAATCCTCTCCGCGCAGAAGTAGCAGCGAGCGATATTATGCTTCGGATTCGGTGCGAAGCTCCTCGATAGCGACGACGACGCGCGACTACAGCACACACATACACAGACAGAAAACGTAGCTATGTACGCCGTTGGAGCTTGTAGTAGTAGTGGTAGCTACAGTCGATCGCGACGCACCCAAGCTCCTGCCTCTAAACGGCTTAAGCTGTTATACACTACGTGAATTCCCATATGCGCGATATGCGCGCGTGGGTGGGTGGATGGCTGCGTATATGGATATGCGTATTATATACACGATGCGCTGTATCGACGCCAAGCACGACGACGTCGACGACGAATATGATCCGCGCCCGTATCTCTGCGTATAAAGTGCACCAGGTGTCACGCGAGTGTTTAACACGCCTTACCGAACACGACGGAAAATCGAATTAGCTCGAATGGAATACGATATTGAAATATTGTGCTTTATTATTTTTATAACAAGTATACGTTTATTTTTGGAACGATTTGCGCTACTACAGAATCATTTCAAATTTTTAATTCTCGATTATAAAACATTTTGTGTATACATTTTTTGAGAAATTAACTTACAGATATAATCGAAGAGAAAAAAATATGAGAAAGAAACAAAATTAAAGAAATAGATTCATTTCTCTACAGAATAATTTCTTGAAGTTTTTATTTCTCGATAATAAAGTATCAATCGTATGAATTTTTTTGAGAAATTATCGCACACGGATGGAAGAAATAAATATAAAAAAAAAAAAATAAAATAAAATCAAAGAAATAGATTCGGCTTGAGAGTTCGTTGACCATTGTTACTTTCTAAGAGAGAAATTTTCTGAAATATTTTAAACCTCTCGAGAGTATTATCAATTGTATTAAACATTTTAAACAAATCTGTAAAAATAAAATGGAATCTCCCATTCGATGCAGCGAGTTTCTAAACTATAGCAATATGTAAGCAAACGCTGGGAAAAAACGTCTATGCAAAAGCATTTATCACTATTAGAATGAATTTAAAAAAAGTCTATACAATCGAAATAGAAAGTATAGAAAAACCCAACAAAGACAGTGCGAGAAGAAATTTATTATTACAAATCTCAAACTTTCACGATGAAATATTTCATGTCACTGCACAGTGCACACTGTAATTATCATACAAAGGAATTCACAGGTACAAATAAAAATTTGTTGAGCTCCTGACCGAGTAAAACAAATCTCTTTTCACCAGTCGTTGAAAATCCAACCATCATTATAATGCGAAAATTAGCCCGTCATTTTTCGAAATAAAGTTCGCAAAACCGAGAGCGAGAGATCAATTAGAAGTTTAATCGCGTCGCTTTGTCACTCCGGTCGGCCGGTCACGTTTAGCTCGGTGCTGCGCGTGCAAATTTATTGTTTTCATTCCGGAGCGCGGTACTGCGTTGATCGTGCCACCCCGACACAAACTTCCGACCTCGTGCCAACGCGTATTATACTTGATGCACCGGTGTGCGTACCCGTGAAATCTTGTTATTTCGACTAGAATAAATCAATAACCTCGTGCATGTACGTAAGAAGAATTTCGCTCGGCACTTTTTTTCTTCAAAGAAAACACTCGAGGAATCTTAGCCTTCCTTAGGAATGCCGTATACATTTTCAGCTCCACTATGCACCCTGCATATACATTTTTCACAAAGTAAGCCTTTTACCGAAAGTAACTTTAAAGTGCATAATTAATAAAAATGAGCACGAAATTTGATCCGCAGAAAAATGTAATAGCTTCAAAGGCGTACTGTCGCACGTGAAATATTCTTCTTTTTCCGCAGCGAACACAAAAAGCTCCTGTGTAAATGTACGCATTCTCTGATATAGTATATAAAATTACATTTTAAATATAGGTCAGCGCGCCGCGCGCACGAGAGCAGAGAGAGACAAAAATGAGGATTAATTTCGCGTTGGGATTATAAAATGAAAATTTGTACGTCGCTATAATTAATATACGTATGTACGAGACCGCAGTCAACGAAACGGAGTGGGTCACGATGATATAGTCGATAAAATCAAGAGAGAGAGACTAGACCACAACACTACGCGCAGACGTATGTTTGCACATTAATTTATCACCGCAGTTGTAGCATCGGCATTGCTCTAACAAATAGCGACCGGGATTATCGCATCGATTCGAAGATAATTTGGCTATTTTACAATGTCGTAAAAGCGTCAAAAGTTTTACCATCGAATATCGTTATTGCTCTTCCCAAAAATCGTAATTATTGTATCAACACGGCAAAAGTAAGCCAACTTCAATTGCGCATTTTGTTTTGACACGCGACGAATCCGCCGACCTCGTTTACTCGCACTTTATATTTATATATTTTATACACATAAAATCTAAATCGTATCGAGTGCAAATACGCGCGAAATTTTCCGTCTAATAACGTCCGAAACCGCACGCACGGGGTAAGGCCGGTCGCTCTGGACCGAATATATTCTATGTGTACGTTATACGTATTTTGGTGCATTCGCAACGGAACCGTGTGTAATTAGCGTAACGCACGAGGCATCTCCGGTGCACTATAATATATACATATCGGTGCTGCGGCTTTTCGCCACGGGAATCTCGGTTATTTTAGCGAATAATTACTCTCTCGAATTAATTAGTCCGTATGCGGCGCGTTTCTACCGCCGCAGCGCATCGCTACGCGTTCAAAAATCCTTGTCCAGCTGTGTGTGCGCACACCATAATATGCAATGGTCTTACTACCGCTTTTTTGCGCTACCGAAAACCGAACGCACATTCCGACGCGATGCATAGACGCAAAGAGAGGAATTTCGCGCGCGCGTTTTAGTTCGAATCATGGGATTTTCATGAATTTAAATGCTCCGGCAACGTTTTTTAACTCTTTCGCGCTACTCCGAGTGAGATAAAATAGAGTACACGTACTCGACGCGCGCACACAGACACGCGTAAAAAGGCTTTGTTGCGCAGTGCACTGCGAACACACACAAAAAAAAAAAAAAAGAAAGACGGAAATAGTGGAAAAAAAGTTATGAGCTACAAGGTTGCTTTTTGAAGCTCGCCACACATAGTTCATTGTGGCGTTCGGTACTGCTCTCTGCCTCGGCTCGCTGCGCAGGAAAAGTCCCTCTCCGCGCTATCTCTCTCGCCGCGTATAATACAATAGGCTGTCTGGGCTCTGCGCTGCGGGTTTTGTCCTCGCCGCGCTCTCGTCCGCAGATGCGTCCAGTGTACGTCCGACGTGTTAAATATAGAGCAACAAAAGCTCGGGTATATTTTTGGGTAGCTTATCGAAAAATCGAAATCGAAATGATGATCATCTGTGCGTTGGATCTCATACAGTCGGAAAGGAGATGATTTCTCGCGAGATGCCGAAACAAGACGATGGACATCGCGGCGTATATCCGAAGGTCTCGACTCAAAGGCCAAACGACGAAGCCTACGTAACACGCGCGTGTACGAGAGGAAGAGGATTATGCTCGGCTGACCGGACGTATCCTCGCTATACACAGGGCTTATGGGACACCGCCGCGATGCCATCTCTCGAGGGCAAATCCGAGCGACTATACAGTTGCTGCTGCTGCTGCTTTGGGGTGGCTTCCGCCTCTGCTTCAGCTCGAATGCAGCATGTGTATGAGTGAAGCAATGTTGGGAAATATGCTGCCTTTGATGTGACCCGCGATGGTGTACACTTATTACGTACTGCTTTACGCAGAGAAATAATTTCAAAGCTTACCGGAATTGATGTCGGTCCATTGGTCGGCGAAATTTAAAAAAAAAGCTCGTAAAAAAAATCAAAGCACCACTACCGACGGTATTATCTAATTTATACTTTTAATCTTGCCTGAGAATCACGAGATGATCACCGATTCATTTCACGCACAATTACTTTTCAATTTTCAAAGTTTCTCGGCGCTCGAGAAAGTTACTCTACACTATATCGTCTTGATTTAAATAACAATTCGAAAATTCATCGCCCAGATATTCGAAAAGTTGGATAATTTCAAAAAGCTACTCGAAAATCATTGTAAAACTTAACATATTTTCAAACAAAAGAAAGAGTAAATTGGAGTTCAAAAAACGAGAGATCAGACGAAGAAGAAAAAAAAGTTTGTAACAGGAAAGAAGAAAAAAAAAGAGGTCGGATAAAGCCACGTGGCAACTTAGGCCAAGTTAATAATGTGGAACGAGTCGGTGCGGTTGAGCTTGAATTTTTACCTCCTTATGGAACTGCTCTTATACTTGCATCTAGATAAAAGGTCAGGGTGAAAAAAGAGTGGAGCGAAAAAAAAAACACATTTCATCGTCGTATAGCGAGAAGCCGGCGAAAGCCTGCCAAGTGCATCATAAGCAATTTTCCTTCCAGACAGTTTCTGAATGTTGCTGAAAGTGGATGGATAGATAGTGAGCACGAAAATACACTTGATTTATAATGCAATAAGAAGCTTTTATTTTTTATGTTTTATCTATTTTTGCAACTTACATCGTGAGGGAATGAAAAAATGTTAACTAAAACATTTCACAGTGTAGATCAAAACGCAGGGAAATTTTGAAAGATTTAACGTACAATTAATAAGACTTGAAAATTCTAATCTTTACAGCAAACAAGTTTCAATGTTACATATGAGTGAAAATAAAAAAACAGGTATGATTAATTTGAAGAATGTAAACTAACTTTATGACTACATTTTTGCACAAATATTTTTTGACATGATTCGCATTTAGAAAGTTTCAATTTTTTTCCGAGAATTTGTTATGCATTTAAAAAAAAATTTTTTTTCCTAAAACTTGTTACAGAAATAATATATTTTGTGTGATCATTTTTTTTTCTCATGGATTTTTAAACATACTTCACACTAGTATGGTTTCAAATTGTTGTGCACTGATTCTGTATGTGTTTTAAGATGAATTTTTTGCCCAAATGCTTTTTGACAAACTCCACACTTAAAAGGTTTCAACTTTTTATGCACTGCACCGATGTGCATTTTGAGATTATGTTTTGATCCGAATTCTTTTTGACAAACTTCACACTTAAAAGGTTTCAAATTTTTATGCACTGCACCAATATGTTTTTCAAGATTAGATTTTAATCCAAATGCCCTTTGACATATTTTACACATGTATGGCTTTAACTTTTTGTGAACAGAATCGATGTGTCTTGTTAGATCTCGTTTGAGTCCGAATGCTTTCGGACACACTTCACACGTGTATGGCTTCAAGATATTGTGCAACAAATTGATGTGCGTTTGAAGAGTACTTTTTTGTCTGAATACTCCTTCACATACTTCACATTTGTATGACTTAACATTTTTATGCACTGCCTCCGTATGTCTTTTGAGATTACCTTTTAGCCCAAATACTTTTGGACAAATCTCACACTGAAAAGACTTCAAGTTTTTATGCACTGCACCAATGTGCATTTTGAGATTATGTTTTGATCCGAATTCTTTTTGACAAACTTCACACTTAACAGGTTTCAAATTTTTATGCACTGCACCAATATGTTTTTCAAGATTAGATTTTAATCCGAATTCTTTTTGACATATTTTGCACTTGTATGGCTTTAACTTTTTGTGAACAGAATCGATGTGTCTTGTTAGACCTCTTTTGAGTCCGAATGCTTTCGGACACACTTCACACGTGTAAGGCTTCAAGTTATTGTGCAACAAATTGATGTGCCTTTGAAGATTACTTTTTCGTCCAAATGTTTTTTGACACTCTTCGCATTTGTAAGGTTTCAAGTTTTTGTGAACAGAACTGATGTTCTTCTGCTCATCTTTTTCAGATCCATATACTGCTCTCAAAGCATTACTGGTATTAGACACGGAACTAAATTTGTCTTTTTTCATTTCAAAAGTAAGTGACTTTGCACACCGATGGTGAGTAGCGATGCCTTCTTGAATTGAAGTCTCTTTCTTGAAATTTTCAAATCTTACATTGCTTCTCACATCACTCTCATTGGTGTCATAAAATTGTAAGGGCATGAGATTAAATTTCTCAATTGTCTTTTCTTCATTATTGACATAAAATTCTGATTTTATATTATTTACAACTCCCTCTATAACTTCGTCGTTGTAACTGAAGTTTTCTTCATTTTTTATGTTATCAAAGCCATTTACATATTCAGAGTCAGTTATTTTTGTTGGCAAGAAATTAATAGTTGGCTTTACATCGTGACATTCAAACTCTGGTATAATTTCATCGCCAGTTAAATTTTGTAACACCGAAAAAGTGTTCTCCTGTCCTTGACCACGAGTCTGTTACAAATAACACACAAAAATTTGATATTATAACAAAATTATTAAATAGTAGAAATTTAAATCTATCGAACTTACAGCATTGCCGTACTGGCCTGTGTTATTTTCAAATTTTCCGATATTGCGTCGAAACGTCATATTGTTCTTGAAGTAGTCATTGCAAAACAAATCATCACTCGGCTCTTGCTTTATCCTAGAAAATAAGACGTACTGTAACCCAACTTAAAAAAATGTCTGTTAGATTCTTGAATTATTTTCTAAAATTACCGTATTGAAGGTTGGTGAACGTAAAACGACTCCATCGTGCTTCGTACACAATCTGTGACTGTTTGGGTAATTCGATTGAATGAAATACTTACTCGCAGAAACAATCGATTCTATAATAACAGTAGATATTTACAATAATAATGATAGCACCAGTTACACGTTGATCTTCTCATTCGAAAATAGTTTTTAAAATAAAACCCCAATATAGCTAATATTTATTCATGATACTAAAGATATTCAATTATTTTCAATTATTAGCATGACTAGAAACTTATTGTCATTTAAATGTGTTTTTAGAAGGCTAGAGGAGTCTTGAGAAAGTATCATGTCTTGAAATCATAATATACTTCTCGCAGTAGCAGATTCTCGTACATTATTTACATTACCACACAAATGTGTAATAACATTGTTTTCCTCATACTCACATCATCTATTATCTTCAAATCCATAGAAAAACTTTTTTTTTAAACTTGCAAATGTTTGTAGGAACGCAACGTATGTAAAAACTTTGGATTTATAATTCCCGTTTCGTGTACACCTAGTCTCATCTAACATAATTTTGGGTATGAATTATTATAAAATGTTTTGGGTATTTAAAACAGGGGTAAAATCCGCTCGCTGATAATGATATATTTTTATCTGTTTCTCTCAATTTCAACGTCGCGTTCCGGTTTTTCTTACTTAATCTGAAGATCGGTGGCAGATTATGGAGTACGTCAACCACGCCATGGCGCGGAAACGTCAGCGGATATGGGCGGCAAATTTTAAAATTAATTTTCAATTGTTCTATTATAATACATCATACTTATTGTATAAATATGAATTGAATGAATATTGAATGGTCATATTTTCAAATACATAGTTTAAGAAAGTCATACAAAATTCCTTGACGGAATCGTCGCTAAATTAAGATATTTATTTGACTGTTTCAAATTTACAAGGAAATGATTATCAACACTATTGTCATAAACGATTCTCACATTGTTCTTCGAACACTGACCGTAGTTATAGTAAAAGCAAATTAGTTTGAATGGTGCCTTTCTCAATGAAACAATCTATAATACCGTAGGATCAATTTTACTCATACAATTTCTGTGGTGCTCAATAGGAAGATCCATCGTTTAATTTTTTCACCAAAATGGATAACAGTGAGGAGAATGCCAAGGAAGTTGTCTCAAAGAATAATTCAAGTGAACACGACATTGTTTTTTCGGACGACAAACCACACATTTGTGATATTTGCCAGGAGGCATTTACACTAGAATCCAGCATGATAACACACCAAGACACACTTCACAATCAAAAAAAAGGTTTTGCATGTAACCAGTGCGCAAAGACATTCAAGTTCCGAAGTCATTTGAGTAGACACCAAATATCGGTTCACAATGGCGAGAAGAAATTTGAGAAAAAATCAAGTTTGTTTATGCACCAAAAATTAGTACATAAAAATTACAACGATTACTCATGTAACAAGTGCAAGAAAAAATTTGAAAGTAAATCAACTTTACTTAAGCACAATAAGATATTTCACGAAGTTTTCAAAAATCACTTATGTGAAGTATGCGCCAAGAGATTTGATACTAAACATGGTTTGCTCGTGCACATAAAGACAGTCCATGAGAGACACAAAAATGACGCACGCGACGAGTGCGGGGAAAAATTTAGAAAAAATTCGAATTTGTTCATGCACCAAAGGACAGTACACGAAAGCTGCAAAAATTACGCATGTGATAAATGCGAGATAAAATTCGGACATAAAAGTAATTTGATAAAACACCACCGGATCGTACATGAAAATTGTAAAGATTTTACATGCGACAAGTGTGAGAAGAAATTTACACAAAAATCGAGTTTGCTATTCCATCAAAAAACAATTCACGAAGGCTGCAAAAATTACGCATGTGATAAATGCGAGACGAAATTCGGACATAAAAGTCATTTGACAAAACACCACCGGATCGTACATGAAAATCGTAAAGATTTCACATGCGACAAGTGCGAAAAGAAGTTCTCACAAAAACCGCATTTGCTCTTACACCAAAAGATAACCCATGAAGGTCGCAAAGATTACGCGTGCGACAAGTGCGAAAAGAAGTTCTCACAAAAACCGCATTTGCTCTTACACCAAAAGACAGTCCACGAAGGTCGCAAAGATTACGCGTGCGACAAGTGCGAAAAGAAATTTGGACAAAAATCGCGTTTGTTCTTACACCAAAAAACATTACACGAAGGTCGTAATGATTTCGCTTGCAATAAGTGCGAGAAGAAATTTGGGGATAAAAGCAATTTGATTAAGCATCAAAAGTTAGTTCACGAGAGTCGCAAAGATTTTGCATGCGCCAAGTGCGAAAAGAATTTCGGACACAAATCAACTTTGCTCTTACACCAAAAGACAATACACGAAGGTCGCAAAGATTACGCATGTGATAAGTGCGAAAAGAAATTTACCCAAAAAGGCAATTTGCTAAGCCATCTAAAGACAGTACACGAAGGTCGAAAAGATTTCACATGTGACAAGTGTGAGAAAAACTTTACACATAAACTAAGTTTGCTTTACCATCAAAAGAAAGTTCACGAAGATCATTAAGATTTCGCTCACGACAAATACAAAAAAACATCAAGTCTCAAATCTATCGAAAAATGTACGACTTACTTGTTAATAAGATTATTTATTTTATTTTGCATAATCGATGACCTAACTACATGATAACCATTTTAGTCATTATGATATAATATCATTACAATGGTGTTCTTTAGAATTAAATTACATATATTCCAATGATAATCTTATTTCTTGGCAATTGTAACTATGTATCGATATGTTTCTAAAATTTTACCCAGAGCTATCAACTATCATTGCACCTTCGTTCATTATCGTGTTTGGTGATTTTACGATTTTTTGGCTCACGCAACAATCAGCCGAGAATTTTTTTCTTATCTTGTTTGGAAACACGAATGGGATCATTTAGTTGACTATTGGATTTTTTATAAACCTCACCCAACAGTGATACGTGATCCTCAATTGATTAAACACACGTTATTAAAATATTTCGATCAATTTGCGGTTGATTTCAATTTTTCAGTTTTTCAAAAATCAACTGCCTCAACCGAGCGACAAATAATAATTTGCGCTCCATCTCACAAGTGCAAATTGAATGATCAGACCTAAACAAAACAACATAAAGTCCTCTGACTTGGTCCCTTCTAAAAGCAACTTAATTTGCAGCACATTTATCGGCACTCGTACGATTCTGCAAGAAAAAAGACGGCCCGAGTGTACGATGATATCGCCTTTTTTCGAATGCTTTCGATGTACACAAAACGAAAAAGTTCTTATATGTATCGCGGGTAGCATCAAGTCACGATTGCTTCGAATAACAAAGTTGAACCGTGGTTACGCGAGACCTCGCCCCGATAGCGTCGTTGCATTCAAAGTAGCAACGAAAAAATACAAAACTCGTACGCAGTTTAGAGAGATAAGTACAAATGTCAAAAGTGATACTCGAAGAAAATCTTTCGAAGAGTTTGAGGATATAAAAAATATTACTAGTTCGAACTCTAGTTTGTGAAATAAGATATTAAACAGCTCGACTGTTTTCTTCGTTTCATACTGTTTCACATTGAACTGGTATAATGTAATAACATCCACGTTTAGTATTTGTTTGATATGTGCCACATTTATTTTATTATAATTACAATGTATTGAAAAATCCTAATATTAATCGCATAAGTTATTTAATTTCATTACTCGAGCTCGCACGAGCTCGTGCCAATTTCATTCAAAAAAATTAAAAACACAATAATTAATACGATGATGCAATTGTTCGTAAGGTAATTAAGGACTATAAATTATTGAACTTATAAAAATTACGCGATAGATCATTGTATAGTTACTGAAAAAAACACCAGGTAATTTTACTATTGGAAAGGTTCGCATTATATTAAATCAAAGAAGCATAACATATTCAAATAATGTGTTGTTTCTTCAAGGTTATTCAAGAAAAAATTTCATTTTTTTTTCATAATTTATTACAGCATTTTTATAATGTCGTCGTTATATAATAGTATTTAGATCAAATAATGCATACTTGCAATGTATGTTTTTTTTTTCATTAAGAAAAAAAATAGTCAATCCCTATCGACAACCCTAACTTCACTTGTATGTTACTCATAAATCGACTATATGCGAAGACTCAGTAGAAAAATATGTCTTTCGTCAGACGTGCATATAATGGAATAAAAGACGAGCGTATTCATGTACGATATCAGATATCAAAGATTCGATAATTTCGAGTTTTTTTTTTCACATACCTCTAATGTATTCTTACAATTGCATATCGAATTCCTCAGTGCAGGTACGACTAATTTGAAGTGTATAAGCTACGAATTTAACGTTGGAAACTACAATTTTGTCCAACTACTTTTTGCTTGTAAGGTGTGTGTAAGCTGTGTAATCTGTTATGCACTGCGTCAATATATCTATTGAAATTATCTTTTAATCAGAATTTTTTTTTATTTACCTCGCACTTGTTTACAAAATTTTTGTGCACCGCATCAATATGATTTTTAAGTTTACTTTGTATCCCAAATACTTTTGGACATACTTAACATTTGTAAGACTTTAAGTTGTTGTGAAACGAATTCATGTGTCTTCTGAGATGACCTTTTTGCCCAAATGCTTTTTCACAAACTTCACACTTGAAAGGTTTCAAACCGTTATGCACTGCATCAATGTGCCTTTTGAGATTTTGTTTTAATCCAAATTCTTTTTGACAAACTTCACACTTGAAAGGTTTCAAACTGTTATGCACTGTATCAATGTGCTTTTTGAGATTTTCTTTTAATCCAAATTCTTTTTGACAAACTTCACACTTGAAAGGTTTCAAACTGTTATGCACTGTATCAATGTGCATTTTGAGAATATGTTTTAATCCAAATTCTTTTTGACAAACTTCACACTTGAAAGATTTCAAACCGTTATGCACTGTATCAATGTGCCTTTTGAGATTTTGTTTGAATCCAAATTCTTTTTGACAAACTTCACACTTGAAAGGTTTCAAACTGTTATGCACTGTATCAATGTGCTTTTTGAGATTTTCTTTTATTCCAAATTCTTTTTGACAAACTTCACACTTGAAAGGTTTCAAACTGTTATGCACTGTATCAATGTGCTTTTTGAGAATATGTTTTAATCCAAATTGTTTTAGACATACCTCGCACTTGAAAGGTTTCGAACTGTTATGCACTGCATCAATGTGCATTTTGAGATTTTGTTTTAATCCAAATTCTTTTTGACAAACTTCACACTTGAAAGGTTTCAAACTGTTATGCACTATATCAATGTGCTTTCTGAGAATATGTTTTAATCCAAATTGTTTTAGACATACCTCGCACTTGAAAGGCTTAAAATGTTTGTGAAGAGCTAAGATGTGCCTTTTGAGATGATGTTTTAGCCGAAATACTTTTCGACAAAATTCACATTCGTAGGATTTCAAATTGTTATGCAGTGTATCGATGTGTCTTTCAAGAGTACCTTTTCGAACGAATGCTTTTTGACAAATTTCACACTTATGAGGTTTCAAATGGTTGTTCACCACATCGATATGTTTCTGCAAATCCTTTTCATATTTACATACCGCTGGAGAGTCTTTACTGCAATTAGACGCGGATTTCAATTTTTCTCTACCGATCTCAAAAATGAACGATTTCGCATGTTGATGATGAATAGTGATGTCCGTTTGAATTGAAGTCTTTTTCTTGAAATTTTCCGAACTTACATCGCTTTCTTTTGTGCGATTAAATTGTAAGGGCATGAGCGTAAATTTTTTAATTGTCTGTTCTTCATTACTGTCATGAAAATCTGATTTTATATTATTTACAGCTTCCTTCCCAACATCGTTGTTATCACTTTCTTCATTCTTAATTTTAATAAATCCATTTCCATAGGTATATTCAGGTATTCTTGTTCGTAAGAAATCAATAGTTGGCTTTACATCATGACATTCAAACTCTGGTGTGATTTCATCGTCAGATGAATTTTGTAAAATTGAAAAATTGTCTTTCTCTTGTTGAGCCGGTATCTGTAATAAACAGCGTAAATATTAATAGATGAGTTAATTATTTGAAAAGTAGAAACCTAAAGTCTCTTACTCACAGTATTTTCATACTGACTCGTGTCGTATTCCAATTTCACATCCTTTCGAAGCGATCCTTCATTCTTGACGTACTCGTCATAATTTAAATCATCTCTTGGTTCTTGTTTTATTCTTAAACAATAATTTATAATATTCTAAAATGAATAATATTGTTTGATGAAGATTAAAATTACCTGATTGTGTGTTTCATTGCGCTTTCGACATTCATGATTTGAAATCCTATAGTTTGGTGTCAGTAACACTTGTTTTTGTACCGATATTTCAAAACTGATATTTCAGTTCTTTAATGTTGCAAATATTCTCCACACTATATCATAGAAAAAAAACTCATGAAAAAATCTTTTCAATGATATAAATTTTGTTATTTTAAAAAAAATATTCTAATACCTTCTGCTTTTGTTCCATAAACTCGTACCAAAATTGATTTTCGGCGTACAAAAATAAACAGACGATAGCAAGAGATATCAAATTAACTGCCTTAATAGAATCGAAGACTCGATTCGGAATACGGTCCTCGCGCAGTCCTCGTAATATACACAAAGCCAAGTCTGCCCGATAACTGCGAGCCAACCTCGCGACAGCGTCAATTCAGCCCTCTCTAATGGCAGTCGAGCGGCATAATAACAACGAGAGAATACCGAAACGTCACGCATGTACATATATTAGCGCGCAAACGCGTACATTAATCGCCGCTTGGCGCTAGCTCGCCTCGTACGTGCCAAAGCCGACCCTACGCTACGCATAACTCGTGAGACAGACGAACTAATATAGGCTTCATAACGTAGATACGACGAGTCTGCGGTGAAATTTCAGCCAAACGCGGAAAGCGATAAGTGACTCGATATAACGCGATTCGTATGGACGTTCAAAGAATGACCCTGACACGGGGTTCGATCGGCCAATCATCGGATTCGTAAATAAATCCCGATCGATCGGCCGCTTTTCAGGTGTAAAACGCGCAAGCGGGGCAGAATTTATGGCAGTCAATTCGAAGGGATTTACCTTTCGCCGGCTCGACTGGTTCGACGGCTCGCTACGAAGAAAAATGCATCGAACTTCAGGATTCCACGAGTAAAGATATATTTCTTCGATTCGCGGTAATTTTCGAGCGCCTTAAATTTCGGTTTTGAAATATAAATTAATTTTCTCTCGAGCTTTTTCCAATGCAACCAGCTCTGATGAAAAAAATTTATCAAACGCTAGAGAGAAAAGTCATAGTAATACTGTAGCTTTGAAATGTTACCTTGGTAAATAAAATTACGGGAACTTTGATGTTAACGTTACACGTCATTTTTATCTCCGGGCTCTGTACCTCTAGACGCGACATGAAAAAGTCATCTCTGCGCATCAATTTGACGTCAGAACCAGTAAGTTATTACGAAAAAGAAAAAAAATATAAGGCAACGCGATGAAAAAAAGTACATATAGCGTTCGGAGGCAAGAGTGGCTTCGCTCGTATAAGCAAATTTATCATTGAAATAGTCATCTACTCGCAAGTCCTGGCTGGCCCCTGTGGCCTTCCTTTTTTACCCATTTTCCGAGTTGCCCCTTTTTTGCTGCTTCTTTTTGCCTTCAGCTTCTATATAAAGAGCCGAAGAGACCTCATAGCCAGCCCCCGGCTATCATCTCGTCCTCTCGATACACGCGTATCTTTTTTTATGTTTGTAGCCCGCACACGCTCGTGTGCGGCGATATAAGGAGAAGCTATAGCAGGTGAATTGTATCTTTATTCAACTGTCCACTGCAACGCCGAAGCTTCCAATTTTTCTTGTCAATGGAAACTTCGATCTACTGTTTATTTAAATTGAAAGAATGAACAATTTTTACGATTACTTTTTTTCATTTGAGCCCACTGCTAAAGATATTAACATTAAAATTGATGTAAAATTGGTGTGAGTTTTTTCTCCTCCGAGCAAATGAATTGACTGACTTATACTATTTTTTTCACTTTGTCACTTGCAGATTGGCATAGAAAGGTATTTGGCCATCTAGCGGTAGAGTCTGACATTACTAATTATCATGGAATTTTGATACATTTTTAAAGAAATCAACTCCAACTATAAATGTCCATTAAAACTTTAATTTTTCAATCATCGCTAATACATAAATTTGATTATAGAATTTAACCCTTTCATTTTTGATAACAGTTCAATCGTTTTTTAACAGCTTAGAGTCGACATTACACTGAAAAAAATTTTATACCCAAATCCAGCGAAAGTGACTAGCTGGATCAGCAAAAGATATTTTGCTGCCACGGCAAAATTATTTTGCTGTTGGAGCAAAAAATTTTTGTCGCGGCAGCTATATGATTTTGTTGGGACAGCAAAAGGTTTTGTCGTGGCAGCAAAATATCTTTTGCTGATCCAGCTGTCCACTTTCGCTGAATAGACTTGGGCACAAGGACACTCGTAACCAATCGACTTGCTTTGGAAGTCCAATGCATGGCACAGAATGTGTAAGTAACGGAGAGCAACGAACATCGCCGAGAGCCAGCCGAGGCAAATTTTTAGAACAAGTTCTAAATGTATAACTCGGAGTCGGTGGCGGCACACTTTTATACACACGTGAGATGTTATTTGCTGGCATGTAGCCTGCTGCTGCGGTACACACACACACACACTCACCCATACGATGTCGGCCTACACATCGCTGTTGCGATTCAGAGCGATCTCTAAAAGGATTCGCACTGTTTCGTTACTACACGCACAATCACAAACACACATTGCAAAATGCATGAGACGAGATCGTAACTCAAGAGCCTTATGCAAGCACACGTATACACACACGAATGATCACATACTCATACAAATGTGAACGATTCGAATGTCCGTTATAACGCGACTTGACATCGTCAAATCGCACACGGCACCAATTTGCACAAACAAGGATGCTCCGCTGACCGCCACTCGAAGGTACAATCACACACACACATACACACACACACACACACACACGCATGCGTGTAAACGAAGCAACACGCGCACGAGCTGCCGAGTTGCCAGCACGTCTGTCGTTTGTCGTTACTCCCAAAATGCAGAAACACTTAGTATTGACTGTTTTTCGACCGTCTTGCACCATGTCAGCTTATACGAATCCTGGTCACTCGACAGCTCGCGCGCGTGTTGCTTCGTTTACACTCATGCGCGTGTATGTGTGTGTGTGTGTTTGTACCTTCGAGTGGCGGTCAGCGGAGCATCCTTGTTTGTGCAACTTGGTGTCGTGTGCGATTTGACGATGTCAAGTCGCGTTGTAACGGACATCGAATCGTTCACATTTGTGTGAGTATGTGATCATTTGTGTGTGTATACATGCATTTGCAATGTGTGTTTGTGTTTGTGCGTGTAGTGACTAAACATGCCAGCAAATAACATCTCACGTGTGTATAAAAGTGTGCCGCCACCGACTCCGAGTTATACATTTAGAACTTGTTCTAAAAATTTGCCTCGGCTGGCTCTCGGCGATGTTCGTTGCTCTCCGTTACTTACGCATTCTGTGCCATGCATTGGACTTCCAAAGCAAGTCGATTGGTTACGAGTGTCCTTGTGCCCAAGTCTATTCAGCGAAAGTGGACAGCTGGATCAGCAAAAGATATTTTGCTGCCACGACAAAACCTTTTGCTGTCCCAGCAAAATCATATAGCTGCCGCGACAAAAATTTTTTGCTCCAACAGCAAAATAATTTTGCCGTGGCAGCAAAATATCTTTTGCTGATCCAGCTAGTCACTTTCGCTGGATTTGGGTATAAAATTTTTTTCAGTGTAGCACATTTTCACCTCTCTCGGCAAATTTTCTCGATTGATCGAAACAAAAATTTCTTTATAAATAAGTACGTTCATACAACTTTCTACCTCTCTCTGCAACGCATATACATAAATGTCATTGTTCTCGAGACCCGCTGGCAAAATGAGAAGCGATAAAGGCATCTCAATCGAGCTGGAAGCTCTCCCGCTGGCTCCCGGAGATTGATAGGTTATCCTTCGCGCGTTCCCTTCTCTACGTATATATATACATCTTCGCGCTTACAGCGTACGATCGACGCGGAGAAGGGTAAAAGTCGATTTCCATGAGTGGAGCGCGCGGATTCATGAATACATCGCGCCAATTTTCCGAGCCGCGCCAGACTAGACTCTACGAGGGGGTATTTTTCTTCGAGCGAGGAACAATCGATTCTCGATTTATTTCATTCCCGCGATGTCTTCGAGCCGTGGGTATGTTTTTTTTTTGTTCGGTGTCTATTCGATGTAAGTTACACGGCGCTATTGCTACACATAAGACAGATCGATACAGAAAAGATTACATGAATTAATTCGACAATTGTATAAATCAATTCAATAAAGCTCGGCGTACATAGCGCTGCAATTGACTTGCAAATTAAATCACGAAACAGATAAAGCTCGCGTAACAATTGAATACCGCGAGCGCACGTGAATCATGGATGTATACACCCGACGTAAAACGGCAAGCAAACGAAACCGCAAGTTCACGACGTTTCAGCGCGGAGCTTTCGAGCTTCCATACATATACAGATACGTATACGTATGTATCAATTTATAAAGGATCCAGGCGCGTAGCTAGCTCGTCTTCGGCACGGCGCAGAGAAGCCACAATCGAATATATATAATACGTATATATGTATCTACGCGCGACACTTGCTTCGCTTGAAAAGCCGCCGCTGAGCGAGCGAGCGAGCGAGCTTTGCACACCGCCAACTATATATACGATTCCGAAATCTCGCTCGCTGCTGCAAGACGACGATATAATTCCATGGAAATTATTTTTCAGCGCGTCGCCTCACGGGAATTGTGGTTACTCTCTCGGTATAGCTGCTGCTGCTACAGAGCACGAACGAGAAAGAGAGAGAGAGACATCGAGTTGGAAACATCAAGTCATCCGACATTTAGAACTCGAGAGAGAGTGTGTGTAGAGGCAAGAATCCGTGTATCCACCTATATACTACGTACCTGCTACGAGCTTTTGCTACCTATATATAGAGCACATGTACATAGCGAAACGCGTTCGCGGTTTTCCGAACCATGTCGTTTGCTCGGGCCTTTGGGTTTATATGTGTATATATCTGTAGCCCGAGAGCTTGCAAGCTCGTTCCATTTCCGCAGTGTAACGCGGCAGCAGCCGAAGCGTAATGGCACAGCAACAGCCAGATGTTCTCTCGATGTCGCTTCTCTCTCTCTCTCACACGGTGTGCTTTAGTACGTGTTGTATCCCTGCCTATATAGTAGTAGCAAAAGAGACGCGCGGCAAATACAGACACGAGCCAATGCGAATCGGTTTCCGAACTTGCGTCGCGTTAGTCGTAGTATACGAGAAAACAAAACCACCGTCAATTACAGCCCGACTCTTTCGATAAAAGAGTGCGCGCGCGTATCGACGCGCCTTGTCAATATATAACACGACGGGGATAAGCCTCGCGACTGCATTATTATACAACTGCGCGTGAAAAGTCTCGCGTCGAGCTTTTGTCCCCCGCGCGACGACGACGACGACGACGAATCGACTGCGGATCGATGTTTCGATGATTATATACACAGG